AGAATCAGTGTAAGTTTTGCTTTGTATATTTGGTAGAATTTGCCTGTGAAACCATCTGATCCTGGACTTTTGTTGGTAGGGAGTTGTTTTAAAATTACAGATTCTGTTTTGCTTTTAGTGATCAGTATGTTCAAGTTATCTATTTCTTCTTGATTCAGTTTTTTTTTTTTTAACATCTTTATTGGGGTATAATTGCTTTACAATGGTGTGTTAGTTTCTGCTTTATAACAGAGTGAGTCAGTTATACATATATATATGTTCCCATATCTCTTCCCTCTTTGTCTCCCTCCCTCCCACCCTCCCTATCCCTTAGCAGCTGGCAGCTCTTGAACGCTTTCCATGACACTAAATTGTCAGCAAATAGAGTTTGAGAGGATTTTTGCTTTTGCAGGCCAATTCCCTGATCACTTAGAACATGGGCTGTTGAGAGCTAGGCCTTGCTTAAGACAGCTACACTTGCCAGCCTCAGAGTGGGGCTGGGAGCCGGCGGGGCCACATTGCATGGGGTGGTTATACTTGGCCAGGTGGAAAGTCCTGAGGCTGTTCTTAATTTCAAATCATGAAAAATGACCATGGACATAATACTCACTTTAGAAGCCTCAGCCACTCGTATAATTAACGTACACCATAAACATTGACTGCACCAGGCCCTGTGCCAGGTGCTGGGAGAGGAGAATGGAAAGGACACGGGTATCCCACGCGTCTAGAACATTGTGGGGCAGAAGTTGCCAAGGAGGAGGAGCCCTGGTTGCTGGGGTGACTCAGAAGCGAGAGGAAGACGCTGATTTTATCCCAGGACGGGCACAAGTACTCAAGTACTTGTACTCAAATACAGACGCTCCTCAAAGGCTTGATTCACTCAACCACCCCACAGACTGTTATCAGGCATCTGCTATAAGCAAGGCCTCATCCTAGATGGTCAAATTCAGGCAAGAGTCATGACAATTTTTTATTTTAAAAAGTTACTGTATAATAAAAATGCTACAAAACCCAGAATAAATATCTTCAAGTTACAAAAGCAAAACAGAGATCTAGAAAAACTGCTTGCAACAGGGAGTTGTTGACAGACCAAAAAGATAAATGTGTGCTTGTTTGCTTGGGTGGGGCTGGGGGTAGGGGAGCTCAAGGAGGGAGAGTTGCACCTCCCCCTTCTCCCCTTCCCCCTCTGTCCCTGCATCCCTCCAAAGGCCTCTCCACTCAGGTCCCCGTGAATCGGCCAGTGCCTTTTGCCCAGTTTTCTGTCCTTGCTCACAGGGCTACCCCAGGTCTGTGTTCCCTAATGAGCCTCTGTTATTATAAAGATGGGGGTGCCCAACCTGGTGCAGCAAAAAGAGCCTTGGCTTTAGGGACAAATCTGGGTTTATACCCGGGTACCACCTCACTTCTTGGCTGTGTGAATGGCGGGCACCCAACCCCCACCCCTGGTTCCCAGTTTCCTCCTGAAGTGGGGATGACAGTGTTTACTGTGCAGGGTAGGTACGAGGACTGGGTGAGAGGGTGGATGGAGCATGTGGCCCTCCACTGGGAACTGAAGAGTCAGCCCTGGGGTGATGTCCCCCTTCAGGCTAATGCCAGGTGGACTGCAAAGCCGGGACCAGGCCAGGTGAGGGCAGCTGGAAGAAACAAAGGCACGGCCCCGTGATCACCTGGGACACATCTGGCTGCATCCGTCATGCCGCTGGTGGGTACAAGAGCTAGGAATTTTGTCAACAAGCTGTCTTCGGGAGGTGAGTCTTAACAGCAGGACTGGGCGGGCCCGTGGAGATCACCGAACTGATGGAGATCTCTCTAAAGAGCAAGGACTTGAACCAAGGCATCTTGGCAGCTGACCCTGGGCTCGTGCTTCGGGCCTCAACATCCTCATCTATCCAATGGGTATGAATATAGGCCTGCCTTTGCCCCAGGGCTACTCTGAAACTCTGTGAGAAGGTGGGTGGAGAAGCCCTTTGGACACTTTGAAACGTTGGCCACATGTGGGGAAGCATCACCCCTCGTCAGTGCCACCCTGCACCCCCAGAGGCATGGAAAACTGATCCTCCACTAATTCGGGAGCCCAACGGGGCGTCCCTAAAGTGGGCAGGAGGTGAGGGGCCATCTCCACCTTTCACTTCCCCTGACCAATATTTGGCCGCTTCCAGCCCTCGAGCGCCTCCCTGCCTACCCACAGGAGAATGACCACCTCCTGCATGGAGGCCTGAGGACTGACGGACTGCTCAATAAAAGTAATTCTACCCACAGTGTTGGCATCTTGGGAGTGGCTGGCAGCAAGCTGAGCACAGCCTGACCAGCGTTAACAGTGGCATGTGGACCCAGCCCCACAGCAAGGGAGGGGCTGCCCGGCACCTGCAGCCCTACTGACTCAGCCTCCCATGCAGCTCAGGCCTGGGAAGGGGTGATCCAGGCCAAGAGCTGGGGTTCTCCCAGGTGGGGAGCCGGCACACCCCGAGTGCCAGCGCGAGAGCTCTAGAAGCAAGAGGTATGTATCCTCTTCCCTGGGGTCCAGGCTGAGGAAGGGGGAAGGAGGAACCACTTCAAAGCCCAGCCGAGGCCTGGGACCACGGCCCCCAGGCCCTGGCCCCTTCCCCATGCATGCGTCCCAGGCAGGGTGGTCACTGGGCCTCCTGGGAGGCCTGCTCCCCTGAGGGCTGGCTCCGGCAGCAGATGGCGATGGCTACGGCGGCCTCCTCGCCCGTCCTCCCTCCTGCTCCGATGTCCCGGCCCCTCACCACACACGTGTTGTCCACTGCGTAGGCCCCCAGGGCGGGGCAGGCCCCGGGGAGGGTCCCGCAGCTGGTCAGCGTCCAGCCTCCCTCGCAGGCCACGGTGACCTGCCAGGGCCAGGGGACGAAAGAAAGCGCATGTATGGCCCAGCACGCTGTGAGCCAGGCCGGGAGGGCACAGGCCGGTGTCTGCGGTGCCAACACAGACTCATCTTCCCCCGACACCACGCTTCCCACAGCCCTCCCCATCCCGGCCAGCGGCAAAGCAAAGCCTGGGCTGTCCCCTCTGCTGCTCCCACCACGTCCAGTCCCTCAGGTCTGTGGACTGCTCCTTCAGGCCCTAGCATCCTCCGCACTCCTGCCCTGGCCGAGCCCCCACCCCCCGGGCCTGGACAGTCACCGTAGCTGTCCACCTGCCTACAGCAGGCCTCCCTGCTTCTGCCCACTTCCCTGCAGTCTTCGTGGCGCAGCGGCCAGAAAGAAGCCGCTCACATCCAGGTCAGATACCCCATTCCCCTCCCCCCACCTCAGGCTCAGAACCCTGAGTGGCTCTCAGCTCACTGGAGCAAAAACCAAAGCCCTTACTGTGGCCCTCAGGCCCCACCTGAACCCTGTCTCTGGTTCCCCCCCTCACTTAGTGCCCACCTCACTGGCCCTCTGGCTGTTCCTGGTGCTCCTTTGCCACAGCTGTTCCCTCTGCCTGGAACACTGTTCCCTGTCCTGTCCCCCACCTTCTTAGTGAGGCCTCTCCTGAACTCCCCCTCCCCATTCTCTTCCCTGCCTTACTTTTCTCCACAGCATCTTCTAAGTACTCTGTAATACTACTCATTCGTTTATTGTCATCCCACTAGAAGAGACGCCCCAGGAGAACTTGTCAGGTTTGTATCTCCACCGCCTTTAATGGTGCCTGGAATGCCAGAGGCCTCAATACTGCTGAGCAAGTGGACCTGAGACAGCCCTTGCCCTCGAGAAATGCAGCATCCAGACCACAATCACTACAGACTTGCTCTTACAAACCTCTCTGAGGCAGGAGAGTGGACTCCCCAGGGCTTCCTTTTAAGAAGCTCCCTGTGGCTTTTAAAAGACATAGAGAAGCCGTAGGGAGGTTGCAGGTCTGCACTGGCAGTTTCTGAGGGCCTCTCACGCCCTAGTCCCCCAGCGTGCCTCCCCTCTCTGCAAGCCCGCCCTCACCTCGCTGGCCCTGCTAGCCACTCCTCCACCTGCAGCGCTCAGCTCACGTGTCCCGTCCTCTGGGTCATGGCTGAGTCATCCTCCCAGCAGATGTGTTAAGTGGATTAATCAGTGCATGTGTGTGGACTGCTTTTCTTATGCCATATTTACACATATTCTTCCAAAGCGAGGGAAGCATGCCCCAACAGCAGATCTCACTAAGCTGGACAAAAGCAAAAACTGGCCCAGCGACACACACACACACACACACACACACACACACACACACACACACGTGCTGTCCACACAGCTGCAAAAGCTGCTGACAGCACCCACCCCATAAGCTACTCCCAGATATATGAGGATATGGTGGTGACACAAACACTGACCCAGAAAAGCTGCACAGGATGGACACGTGCCACCCCACGCGGTGTCCGGCTCCCGTCCCGACCCCCCAAGCCCCTTCACCTTCTCTGCAGGGCCCGGGATCCCGTGCTCCCTGACTTTGCACTCCAGACCCGGCGCGTGACAGCAGGAAGCGTGGATGCTGGCCTCCTTGTGGCCGACACACTGGTCGGGCTGACCCCATGGCCTCAGCACAGGCTGCCTGGGGGTGTCAAGGTCCTCCACCTCCCAGTGGGAGCTGCAGCCTGGGGAAAAGGAGGGCCGGCTCAAACACCTGGATGCTAAGGGACCCTCTGTCTCTCCTCCCCACCCCATTCAGTCTCCATCTTTTTAGGGTCTGAGTCTGGAGCTGAGAAACGCAGAAACAAGTCTTGGCAGGAAAAAGGCACTACTAGCCTGAGCAACAGGACTCTTGGGTTCTCAGCTCAACCTTGCTGCTGGCCTGCTGTGTGACCTTAGGAAAGCCATACAACCTCTCTGGGCCTCAGTGTCTCAGGGAAAACATCATCTCCTCTCCACCCTGACATGGGGAAGGGGCTCCAAGGCCTGAGATGCTAAACCAGGAAATGGTATTCCTCCCCATAACCCAGCCACCCAGGCAGAAGTTCAGGGGTGAGCTTGATGTCTCGCTGGGAGACATGGGCCTCCCTCCAGAGCTTGGGAGTCAGGCACACACCCTGGCTACGAGACCTCAGAGAGTGTTCCTAGGCTATAGCAAGCCTCAGTTTCCCTCTGTAAAAGGAAAAGGGAGGCTGCAAGGGTGAAGTGAGGACATGCACGCGGAGCCCAGCACAGCGTCTGGCACCGGGCAAGGGCCCTGCACGTGTTAGGGTCATGGTCACTGGAATGCCCATGTGTTAGCTGCATGGCCTTGTGGAAGTCACTCAGCATGTCAGGGTGCAGTTCCCTTCGCTGTAAAGTGGGGCTCTTTTGGATGCACTTCATAGGTAGTGGGTTCTATGACTCCGATGTCTTCGAACTGGCACGTGCCCTGGAGTTCATCTGCTGGGCGTTGCCAAAGGGGAGAGCCATCAGAACATGGTGGACTTCCCACCAAGCCAGGACCCCAGTAAGATGGCTGGTGGCCTGCTGGACCTGTCCCAGCCTCTCCACCTGACTGGGCTCATTTTTCCCCTGCAAAGCTCCTCCTAGAATCAGCTCCTAACTCGTCACTCGCCCTTGTCACCCTCCTCAAACTTCAGTGGCTCCCCAGTACATACTCGATGAAGAATCAACTCCTGAGCCAGTTATTCCAGGCCCCCTACCTGCCCTCTCCCCAAATGCTCCCCAGGACATCCCATGCACACTCCAAGCAGGACAGCTCAGCCCCCTCCCAATTTGAGGGGCACCATCCCTGGATCCCCGACAAGGTCCCCACCTGTGACTTCCCGCTACCTACCCAGGGCATGTTTTTGACACAAGGTGGCCCATCCACAGTTACCTATATCAGAGAATGGATTCTAAAGCAATGGATAATAACCAGGATAGCTAGCACTTATGTTGTCCTAGCATCAAGCTAAATGCTTAGCACCCATCATCCTCATTCTATTGCTGAGGCACCTGAGGCACAGAGAAGTTAAGTAACTTGCATAGGTCACACAGCGGACGACTGGCAGAGCCAGGATTAAACCAAGGTCAGCTCCACTTTCGGAGCCACTCCCTAAACTGCCCCTCATGCAATGCACTACCTGTGGGGAAATGCCTACAATGCCCCAGGCCTGGTGCTCTAGGTGTTACTCATTTCATAGCAACCCAGTGAAGCAGGCACTGCCGCCGCCCCTCTTAGGGAGGAGGAGGCTGAGACGGAGACAGATGAGGTGCTTGCCCAGGGTCATAGGGATGAGAAGGGTAGCACTGGCCTTCACACCAGGCCGTCGGGCTCCCACGTGGGGCCAGCCAGGTGGGGGCAGGCACCAGGAGCCAGAGACGCCTCCTCACCCCGGGGTGGGCCCAGCCACCTACCTGTGAGGACGTGGCCCCGCTGGGGGCAGCGGGCCTGGGTCTGCACTCCGGCCCCAGCTGGCGGAGCCGTGTGGACACGGCAGTTGGCCCGGGGCAGCAGGCAGCACCTGGCAATGGCGTAGACACCCTCACCCCCAAACGCGTTGTGGGCCAGGCAAACGCGCCTGCCCCCTCGGGCCTGAGAGCCAAAGACAGAAACAGGAACCTGCTTTAGAAAAGGCTTCGAAACACAGGATGAGGCGGGGCTGGAGGAAGCTGACTCGGGCGCCTGGTCCCAGCCCCTTGAAACGTCTCCAATGGCCTCGCGAGGGGCCAGCCGGCCCCTGAGGACAAGGAGCTCGCTTCCACCCAAGGCAGACGGTTCCGCAGATGGGCAGTTCTGGGTGTTATAAAGTTCTTCTGGATACTGAGAGTGACTTCAAAATGCAGATACAGGGGGCTTCCCTGGTGGCGCAGTGGTTGAGAGTCCGCCTACCGATGCGGGGGACGCGGGTTCGTGCCCCGGTCCGGGAAGATCCCACATGCCGTGGAGTGGCTGAGCCCGTGAGCCATGGCCGCTGAGCCTGCGCGTCCAGAGCCTGTGCTCCACACGGGAGAGGCCACAACAGTGAGAGGCCCGCGTACCGCAAAAAAAAAAAAAGCAAATACAGGGAAACCTAAGACTCCAGAGCAAGGACCTGGCCTGCTCAGCCCTGACCCACTCTCAGCCTCTCCCACGTGCACTCACGTGCAGGAGGGTGCACAGTCAAGCACACTCCCAGACACCGGCTCCCAGACAGAAATGCCTGCCCGCCCCTTGTCCTCCTGGCCTAGGCACTGCCCTTCCACCAAAACACTGCAGCCAGATGGCATCTCTGCCAGGCTCTGAAGCCTTCCCATCAAGTCCCCTCTTTTGCTGCTTTGGGAAGATTTCTCAACTGCCAGAACCGTGGAACATCTGAGTGAAAAGGGCCCTGGAGACCACTGTGTCCAGAGGCAGCAAATCCCTGGCATACGTCTGGCCCTCCCCTCCCCCGAGGCAGTGAATCCCTGGCACACACTCTGCCCTCCCCTCCCACGAGGCGGGCATGGGAATCCATCCAGTCTCATCCTGCAGAGTCTCCCGGGAACCCTCAGTGTGCCTCCCTCCTGCAGCACCCAAACCGCGTGACTGAGATATGCCCCATTCGGCTTTAACTTGCAGATGGGCGCTGGAGTTCAGAAGAGGATAAGGCTCAGGCAGATCTGGGCCTGGAAGCAAGAACCCCACTTCACGCTCCGATGGGAGGGTACAGGTCACCTCAATGCGCTCGCCTCGCCGCTTCCCGCTCCTGGAGAAGCTAGAGCAGCCCAGCAGCTCCTCAGGGGCAGCACAGCGGGCCTCGGCCGTGGCCATCCGCGTGGGCCCCGAGTGCGCCGACCACACGGTCCTGCAGAACAGCTGCCCACCTGCAACGAGGCCCTGGGGTGAGGAGGGGTGGCTGCGGAGGGAGCCTCCGTCAGGGCTCTGCTCACAGAGGGCTCCAGATCTTTGGCTCCTGGTGGGGGAGGGGGCCTTAAAGAATGTGATCCATTTTCCCATTAAAACAGGTCATGAAAGCCCTCGCAAAGCCCTTTCGGAGCCCGTCCTACTCAATCTCCCCCAGTGTCTAGGAGCCAGTGGCCGAATCCTCCCTCCACAGATGAGGGAGGGACAAAATTGCCCAGGCCACACAGATGCCCTGAGACCTCCCAAGCCCCAGTCTGGATTCTGCCCGCCCTGCCATCCTGCTGACCTGCTCCATAGGTGCTGCGGGGTAGTGTAGCCACCAGGTTGGGGGTCAGTACCCGCTGGTCCTCGGGGAACCAGGCCTCATTGATGACGTCTTTGGCAGAGAAACGGATCAGCCTCTGCCTCATCTCAGCCAGGGTGAGCTCCGGCTCAGCAGTCAGCATCCTAGCCACAATGCCTGGTCGTGGGGCAGGCGGTGAGAGATGGTGGTGGCCTGGCCCTCCTTCCCGACCTGGGACTCCTCTCCTGGTGCACACATGAGCGTGCGCACACTCACAGACACACCAAGCTGTTCTTTAGAAGTTAAACCACCTGCAATCCCTTGCTAAAAGATGGCCAGAGTAAGACTTACATCCTGCTCTCACACCTCCAAGCCTTGGCAATTGCTGTTTTGTTTGCCAGGTAAACTCTTATTCATCCACCAAACCCCAGATGAAACGGCCCTCCTCCAGGAAGTTTTCCCTGACCTTTAGCCTGGTCAGGCACCTCTCCCTTCCACACAGCCCTGGCTACTCCGTTTGTGCACCTGCCTCCCCCATCAGACTGAGCGTCCTTGAGGGCACCATCAGTCTGACTCATCTTTACTCCCCCATACCCAACACAGAGCCTGGCACACGTGGTCCTGGTGCAGACCCTGCCTGCCAAAGGGGCTGTCAGAATCATGACGGCTGAGGCGGTGGGGCAGCTACTCACCAGCCACATGGGCGGCAGCTTGTGACGTCCCACTCTGTGATGTGAAACAGGTGCTGCAGTCACTGGAGGCACCAATGATGTCGTCCCCTGGGGCAAAGAGGTCCACGCAGCGGCCAAAGTTGGTCCCCAGGACCCCCAGGGTCACTGGCTGGTCCTGGGCATTGGTGGCCCCAACAGTAATGACCTGGAGAGGTGAGGGAGTGGATGGCAGAGAGGGGAGCCAAGGAGAGGATGTAGGGAGACTGAGACCTTGCCAACTGGGCTGGCCAACTCCTATATACCTGTTTGGCCCATTCAAATATCCCCTCCTGAGGGAAATCTGAACTCTCCAGGCAGAGCTCTGGCACTCTCTGCCCCACCTGGCCCTGGCGCTGCCCTCTGTCCCTACCATATGCCAGGCACCATTCCCGAAGTCCCCGAGGTGCTTCCATTCTAGGCAGGGATCCAGACAGTAAACAATGCAACACATTAGGTGGTTATAAGCGCTAAGGAGCAAAGCAGAGCCGGCAAGGTGGGAAAGACGTGCTGGGTTTTGTCTACTTTATGCGATTTTAAATTCGGTAGCCAGGAAAGGTTATCAATCACTGTCAGGCTCACATGTGTGGCCCCCACCTGCCCCCTGACCCCAACACCCCCCCCAGACTATGATATCTTTGAAGTGGAACGAGATTCCTTCCCCTTAGTCCCCCCAGTGCCCACACCGCCAGTAGGTGCCCTCGCACGTTAGAGGAATGGACGGGCATTGGACCCACTGGGTCAACCTCTCAAGCTGAGAAGCGTCATCTCTGTGCTCATGTAGCTCCCCTGGGGCACACCAATGCAGGGCCTCAGGGGGCCTTCGGTGGGGGGGGGCGGGGAGGCGGACAGTGGAGAGGTCCTGGGATACTTGCAGGAGAGTGATGCGGGCAAAGCCCCTGGGCCCTTCCCGAGTGGACTTGGGGAGGAAGCAGAGGGAGGCCAGGAGAAAGCGGAGGGAGCTATGGTGTCAATCCAGGGGACAGCAGATGGACGGAGGTGATGGGATTGGGGAGAAGGGGCCAGGGGCATCATGAGACATTTGGAGGGAGAGGGGCCAGGGCGTGGGGTTGGAGCTGCACTGGGGGAGGGGAGAGTTGAGGCTGGTGCTGTTCATAGACTGGGATGGTGGAGGTTCAAGCCCCTCCTCTGCCCAGGTAGGCCCTGGCAGTCTCTGACACGTCCTTCCAAAGCCAGGCCAGTTCAGGAGCACCCCCATGAAGCCGCCAGGGGCCCACCTGCCACTTTCCCCTCCCTTCGGGAGCACCCACCTCGGGAGCTGAGGCCGGGGAATAGAGACAGGCGTCATCCCTGAAGTTGCCAGCAGCGGCCACCAGCACTGCCCCCGTCCCAGCCAGCTGCTGGCAGGCGGCGTTGAGGGCCGAGCTGTACCCACCCGCCAGGGGCAGCAACACTACCAACCGGCCCGCCGGCTGGGCCAGCTGGCTCTTCCAAATAAACTCCAGGCCTGAGAGGACAAAGCCAAGGTCACCCATGAGGAGGCACACTCCCCCTCCCCACCCCTGCCCCCGAGGCCCCCGTGAGGGTTAATTTTACATGTCGACTTGGCGAAGCTACGGGTGTTTGCTCAGACATAGGTCTAAGTGTTGCTATGAAAGTACTTTGTGGATGTGATTAATGTTTACATCAGTACTTTGAGTAAAGCAGATTACCCTCCATAATGGGGGTGGGCCTCGTCCAATCAGTTGAAGGCCTTGAGAGAAAAGATGGAGGTCCCCCAAGGAGGAAGGAAATCTGTGTGCACACTGCCTTCAGACTCAAGACTGCAGCATCAACTCCTGCCAGAACTTCCAGCCTGCCAGCCTGCCCTGCAGATTTCAGCCAGCCCCACAATATATGAGCCCATTCCTTAAGATAAATTGCCCACTATGTGGTATATGTATGTATTTATAAATATAAATATACACACACATCCTATTGGTTCTGTGTCTCTGGACAACCCTGACTAATACACATGGGAAGCGTGTTAACAACAGCAGCACTTATAAAACCAGCCAACTCCCAAACACTTATATGCACCAGGCTCCTTCTAAGTGCCTGACTATGGGAATTTACACAGTCCTCACAGTAACCTTACTATTATTTTCCCTTTCCAGGAAACTGAGGCACCAAGAGGATAAGTAAGATTCTCAGAGGAACAGGAAGGGCCCCCTTTGCCCTGCCTCTGACCTTCACAAGCCTCGTTGCCATCCTCTGAGGGCTGGTGTACAGTAATCCTCCCCCACCACACAGACACACACACACACACACACACACACACACACACACTCCAGTGAGTCCTCACTGCCCACTTGCAGCTGTGGGACCCTGCCCTCCCATGTGTGAAAGGGGACACTGCTGCTCGGACTGTGTCGAGGATCAAAAGACTCCTCGCCCTGGAGCTGGAGGGGGGTGGGGGAGGACTTGATAACCCTGCCCCCTCGGGGGGTGTCATGCCTTGACCCCGGCTGCACTCCCCCACCCCAGAGCCGAGTGTGCAGCCTGGAGCCCAGGCCCAGTGGAGACCTGGGTTCTAACACCAGCTCTGGCCCTCATGTGCCAGGGGACCTGGAGCTGACAGATTCTCTCAGGCTCTGGCTCCTGCCCCATCAGATGGGGGTGTGGCCGGCTGACCTCTCAGAACCTTCTGGATCTGGACCTCTGGGAGATCCCCAGGGCTGCAGCAGAGGTGGGAGTTGGGGTCCCATAGCCAGGCTCCTCTTAGGAGGAGACAGCTGCCCCTCACACCAGGAGAGGCAGAGCGGAAGTAGGAGTGGAGGTGAGAATAAGCACGATTACAGCTGCCATTTATTAACCACCTGCTGTATGTATGTTTCTGTGCTCGGACTTGACACACTTTACCTCAACAATCTGCTTACAGAGGAGACCGGCGGTGACCACAGGCGTCATCCCTGGCTCACCCGTGGAGCCCCTGCTCTGCTCCAGGTAATGTGCTAGGGGCCTTTCCCAAAGCGGGGACCTTTTCTTCCCCGGGAAACCCTCCAAGCCCAGGGCGCCAGCCCTGTGGAAGGACTTTCAGGGCACAAGCGGGCCTCCCCTCCTCTGCACACTGACCTTTGGGAATTGGCCTGCTGAGCTGAGGTCAGTGGATAAAGGGGTGGGACAGGAAGGAAGGGTCACCTGATACGGCAGGGGATTATTGATTCTTGCCCTTAAAACCAAACATCAAAACCTGTGTTCTAAGGCTTCCCTGGTGGCACAGTGGTTAAGAATCCTCCTGCCAACGCAGGGAACACAGGTTCTAAGCCCTGGTCCGGGAAGATCCCATATGCCACGGAGTAACTAAGCCCATGTGCCACACCTACTGAGCCTGTGCTCTAGAGCCTGCGAGCCACAACTACTGAGCCCGAGTACCACAACTACTGAAGCCCGCGCGCCTAGAGCCCGTGCTCCGCAACAAGAGAAGCCACCACAATGAGAAGCCCACGCACCGCAACGAAGAGTAGTCCCTGCTCGCCTCAACTAGAGAAAGGCCGAGCGCAGCAATGAAGACCCAATGCAGCCAAAATTTAATGAATTAATTAAACAAACAAACAAAAACCTGTGCACTAAACTGCAAAGAATTAGGGCAGAGCTCACTCACCAAGCACAAGGCAGGCACCACCAGCCCTTCCCAGCCCTTCAAAAAGGCCTATGGCTACCTCTGCCAGCTCAGAGGCCAGCGTCTGACAAGGGTCTGGGCGCTTGCAGTGGAGGTCAAACTCAGCACCTTCCCCAGCGAGGTCACTGGCTCTGGCTGTGTGACCCTGGGCAAGTCACTTCCCCTCTCTGGGCTGATTTTCTCAACTGTTTAACAGGCTCACAATACAAAGTCCTTTGCTCAAGGTCTGGCCACAGGAGGGACTCAGTAAGTGAGAATTCCCACCCTCTTCTCTGTCCACAGGCCTCCCAGGGTCCTAGCTCTAAGCTGGACCTTGCCAGAGGTGACTGGATGGAGAAACCTGCAAGAGTCTGGAAAAAGTCTTCTGCCCGTTCCTCTACCAGGTCTACCCAACCAGGGCTCCAATCATTCATGAGAAGGAGTGAGTCCCTCGGTGTTAAGCAGAAGATGGGGGAAGTTTGCTTAGATCACCTCGAGGGTACATCCAAATCTAAAGTAACATGGCAAAAGACGCAACTATATTAAAAGATCTGGAAAGGGGAGCAGTGTGAAACTGTAGAAAGACCACTGACTAGGGGTCACAGCTGCAGAACCTGCCTGAGCTGAGCCCTGCCCCTCTCCGGGCCTCAGTTTCTCCATCGGCACTCATGCCCCCTGGGGGCCCTGCCCACTCTGACTCTCTGAGACTCTGCCTCTGGGGCAGAGGCTGCCTTGGTCTCCTCGGTCAGGAGTCAGTTCTCTCTGGGCTGAAGCCCCGTCCCATGCCAGGTCTGGATGCAGAGACCAGCACATCCGGAGCCATCACTCACCTGTGAGCGTGCTGCTCACCGTGCCCTTCCCTTGGCAGTTGAGCACACGCAGGCTGCGCAGGCTGGCGCCCTTGGCCACGCCAGCATCCCGGCCACTGACCACCCCCGCCAAGTGGGTGCCATGGCTGTCACACTTGCTCGCCTGCTCGACCAATACAAGACCCGAGTGAGAAATCTCATCCACCCTGTAATAATATCAGTGAGTGACCGGACAGACGTCCCCACCCACAACTGATGGCAGGGGCAGTGACAGCTGGGGAGGCCAGCAGGGGTGCAGCTGTGGCACTCCGGGGGTGGCATCAACTCCAGGTCGGGGATGAGGGACGGGGGCAGCCCCCCCGCCTGAGGGACATGCTCACCTGTCTGTGGAAGCGTGTCCCATCCTCCTCGGGCACGTTCTCGAAGTCAGTGACTACCACCCTGCCCTCAATTTCCCGGTGGCCACTTTGGATACTGGTGTCTAAGAGATATACCTCCACCAGGCCACCTCCAGCTTTCCAAGGTGAGGTTTGTTCGAAAGGAAAGAATAACCATGAGGTTAATGTAATAGTTAACACATATAAACTGTTTACCATGTCTCAGGCACTGCTCTAGGCACCTTACATACGTCAACTCAGAAAATCCTCTCCAGGTATATACTTTTATATCTTTATATCACAAACAAGGAATGTGAGGCACAGAGAAGGTAAGTAACTGTCCAAGGTCACATAGCTGGTGACGGTGGAACCAGCAAGAGAACCAAGTAGTCTGGCTCCATAATATTAATATTACTATGAAATAACAATACGAACACTCGAAACTAATAAATACAATGGAAAAAACTATGCCAAGCCCCTACTTAAAATTTTTTACAGCTCCCCAAACCTGAGGCCACAGAACTTAAAGACAGAACAGGATTTGACAAGTAAAAGGAGAATAACAGGCCTGTATGGCCATCTGAGCAGGTCAGCTCATTTCACAGAGAGGAAACTGAGGCTCAAGGAGGATGCGTGGATCTGGGCCTCCTGGCTCCAAGCCCATGCTTTCTCCACTCCACCAGGTGCCAGGACGGCTCAATGGTGGCTGGTTCCAACTGACACAAGTTACAGCCTCAGAGAAAACAGCAGTATTGGAAATTCACCAAAAGCCTACCACCTACACTTCATCATTTCTAGTTAGGTCAGTCCAGATTCTCCAGAGGGGAAAAGGGGCCTCAAGGGGAGTTACAACTAAGGGCAAAGGGACCTGCGAGTGGCCTCTTACAGCCTCTGAATCAGTGCAGGGAGCTCTGCGGCCTCTGGCAGGTGGGCGCCCAGTCCTGCCTGCGTCCCTCCAGAGCAGGGAGCTTTCCCTCTCCCACAGGACAGCCCCTGCCACGCCTGAGAAGCTCGGAAGGCAGCCAAGTTCTCCTTCTCATCTCTGCCCAGGAGGCCCCTGACCCTGACCCTCTGGCCTCTTCCCCGCAGGCCACATCCCTTCCTGCCTCAGGGCCTCTGTCCTTGTTTGTTTCTCTGCTTGGACATGCTCCCATTGGTGGGGCTAATGATACCCACTGCAGGGCTTGGCTGAGTGTCACTTCCTCCAGGAAGCCTTTCCTGACTCCATGCTCACAGCTGTTCAGACTCCTTCGTAGCTCCTACCCCATCCATGCTACCTGGGGCCATGTAGCTATCTGTGTAAGCAATGGTTCATGCACTAGAAGCTCTGGGGTCGGGGGGGGGGGGGGTGCAGGCAGAGACCAAGTCCATCTTGTTGGTCTTTGTGTCCCCAGCACCTAGCACAGTGGTTACTCGAGAACTCACTGTGGCATGGAAGGAGAGGAGGGGGAGGGCTGAAATGACAGCACTCTCACTCTATACCAGACACGGATGGAGGCTCGCTACAGCATAAAGAGCATTAACCCCAACACAGCCCCCCAGATAGGACTGTCATCACCTCCCGTTTTTGCAGAGGAACCTGAGGCTCATTCAAGCTCACACAGCTTGAAAATGCTAAAGTCTGGGTTTGAGCATGGCAGTTGGCTCCAGAGCCTGTGCTCGTCAGCTCTTTGCCAGCTGGCCTCTCTGTGAAGGAAGGGTCTGCTCCTGGCCGGGTGCGCCACTCTCCACTCATCTGCATGGTGCCCACTCTGCCCCACTCCTACCCAACAGCCCCCGGGGGGCCTCGTCCAGCCAAGCCCTTCTGTGACTCCTGATGGACTCCACGTTCCTGCCTTCCATCCCCGCCACCTCTCACAGCCACTGGGCGCAGGAGGAGGGTAAGGCAATCCATGGGCATCCCAGTGGGGAAGGAAAGGATCGCACGTCTGCTTCTGGCCTGGGGCAGGGCTCTGGGTCCAACGGTCACCCCAGAAAACGTATGTCCACATTCTAACCCCTAGGACCTATGATCATGACCTTATTTGGCAGAAGGGTCTTTGCAGATGTGATTGTTAATGACCTCCAAATGAAATCATCCTGGATTATCCCGATGGGCCTTAAATCCACTGATGTGTCCTCATAAAAAAACAGAAGAAGAGAGAGACACAGGGAAGATCTTATGAAGGAGGCATGGACAGGAGTGATGCAGCCATAGCCGAGGAACGCTGCAGTCACCAGAAGCCGGAAGGGGCATGGGAGGATGCCCCCCTAGAGCCTTTGGGAGGAGCTTGGCCCACTGACACTTTTACTTCCGACTGGAGAGTACATTTCTATTGTTCTAAGCCACCGGGTTTGTGGTACTTTGTTAGGGCAGCCCTAGGAAACTAATTTAGGGGCTGTGGCCTTCTCTCTCTCCTGCTTGGCTTGGTGTCCCCCGGAACCCCCTGCACAGCATCCCCTCCCCATTCCCCGTACTAGCCGGCTCCAGGAGGTCCCTGAGTCGCAGATGTGGAAGGTGGGGTCTCTAGGGTCTCTGCCTAGAGAGGAGCAGGCTGGGGAGGGGAGAGGCAGGCTCTTCCTGCAAAGGGCACCCCCTCCCTGGCCACAGGCTGCCCAGACCGGTCAGCACACCCTGCCTACTGCCGCTGCCAACCCTGGGGTGACGCTCCACACTTCCTACTCATCTCCCATCCTGGCCGCGAGCCCTGGGAGGCCCCAGGTCTACCATCTGTCACAGTGAGAGCAACTCAGAACCCGCGTAGCCTTTCAGTTCCCAAAGCATTTGCACATCAACAGCCTCACAACACCCCGTGAGCACAGGACGGGGTTACTGTGCCCATTTTACAGACGAGGACGGGGAGGATCCGACCCCACGTGAGCCAGTAAAGGGCGGAGGCTGGACGCGCCCCCAGGTCTGGCTGAGTCGAGCATCCCTGCATCGTCTTTCCGCTGAGCTCCAGACCTCACGCTGCGCGCTTCTCAGACTGAACACGGGCCAGCCAAAACCCCTGATCTCCCCAAACCAGGTGTCCTTCCCTTCTTCCCCAGCTCAATAAATGGCACCTCCACCCCCCTACAAGGCCCTGCCCAAACCCAGGCCACTTTCCTTGGCCTCTCCTCCTCCTCCTGGCCAGGCCACCCCAGGCAGAGGGGAGAGTCGGGGGAGAGGCCTGGAGGGGACACACAGAGTAGCCCACGCAGGGAACCCCAGGAAGCCTAGCGATGCTGAAGGGAGGCACAGGGCAACACAGGAGACCAGAGACCAGCTGGGGGCATGGCAAACAGGCCTTATCTGTCCCGTTACGGGGTCCAATCCTGTCCTCAAGGCACTGGGATCACCCAGACCTGTGGGCCTTAGCGGGTGTCAAGGTCAGGTTTACCCTCTCCCCACCTGAGTGCAGCCTGATGGGCCAAATGGCAAGAAGAGGCAAACGTGAACTTCTAGAAGGTGGGAGAGGGGCTCATGTAAAGAAACAGACTTCTGCCTTGTACCTGGGGCAGCAGGAAGGCAGGGCATGGGGGCTGGATTGGGTGGAATGGGACAGAAAAGGGGTCAGCAGAGTGTACTGAGCTCTAACTCCCCTGGGAGGTGAGGACCGTCGACAGGGAGGAGAGAGCGGCACGTGGCCCCCGCTCGGATGAAGAGAAGCAGGGAGCTTGGGGCCCTTACTAGGAGCGTGGTGTTCATCCGCCTGGCGCCGCGCAGGGAGAATCCGCTCTAAGTTCCACGGGATACTCTGGGCAAAGACGAAGGAGTCCTCCTCGATGTACTGGACGTGGGGCAACGTCAGGGCCTGCAGAAGGTAGAGAGGTGGGGCTCGGCTTCAAAAGCCATTTGGCTGACAGCAGCCGTAGCCACAGCCCTTCACCTACCTGATCAAGCCTGTCCCGGGTCACACGCCAGTCACATACCTGTCCCCTCCTGGTGTGGGGTTTCCTTGCTCATGTTGGGGAGCCCAGCACCCGCCAGCACAGAGGATGCCTTTTAGGAAGGATTCTGAATTTGACATGCCATCTGGGGAGCCAGGCAGTGCCCAGGCCCCGGGGAAGGCTGGACCTGGACTCCATGCCCAGATCGTGATGCCCTCACTGGCCATTCTGTTTCCCCCAGATCCGTTCCCGCCCTTCTCCACGGTGCAAGGCATGGGGAGGCTGACCCTGCAGACGGCAGCTCCCAGGCCTCCTTGCAGTGATTTCTGGTTGGGATCAGCCAGAGGGAGGCCCAGAAGGAGTTCTGGGGGATGAGAGGGTGTCTTCACTCCCTCTCTGTTTTGGTGCAAGGTTCCCACGGTGGCTGCATCCCTTGGTGACCACGGCTCCCCCGGGGCAGCCCCTGCTCCACAGCTCCAGCTCCCACCTGGCAGAGAAGACACTATTCCCTCTCCTCGCCCATCAACTTGTCAGGAAGACTCACCCCTGGGTGCCTCAGTGTCCCTGTGGGCTTCCTTAACCTGTCCACACCTCTGTGAGTTTCTGTGCTTAGCATCTGCTTAAATACTTGACGATCTCATTTAGTCCTTAAAGAACCGTTCCTATTTTCATGCCAGCATACAGGTAGGGGACTGAGACTCAGGGGGCGAAGAAAATTGCCCAAGGTTAGACAAACTAGTAAGGGTACGTGAACTCAGGCTGGCACGATGCCAAAGCCCAGCTCTTGAGGGCACATGTCTGTGGCCTGCAGCTCAGCAGTGTCTCCCCTCTGAGAAGCTGCCTGGCCTTCGGGGCTCATGTGTGCCATCTGGCTCTGTGGGCATCTGATTCCTTTCCCCGCACTGTGCTGGGCATATCATCCCTTAGTTACCTGACTGGTCATCCCTTCTCAGTCTCTCTTTCTGAACTGTGAGCTCAAGGGAAAGGGCTGGTGGTCCATCCTCATGTCCGTAGCACATAGTAGGTGCTCATTAAATATGTGATGAGCAGACTGACTGAAGGCATTAACTTGATGTTTCTGCTATCAGACTAAGGGATTGGACCCTGTCTAATCCATGTCATTGTCCCCACAGGACTTAACACACAGTAGTTGTTCAGCCACTGTGTGCTGAATGGAATGAAACTATGCAGTAGTAGTCCAGTGGAGCGAGGAGGCCTAGATTCTCGTTCTGCCGGTTATGTGTTGTGTGACCTCGGGCAAGACCCTGTCCCATTCTGGGTCTCAGCGTCTGCAGGAGGCTATGAAGCACCCCAGCCACGCGGAGAATCAGTATGAAAATGGGAACCATGTGCTCTCATCAAGTTAGGAGGACAGGGGAGGGGGGCGGGTTGGGAGGAAGGGAGCAGAGGCTAAAACAAGGAAAGGTGGTTTTTTTGTTTTGTTTTTTTTAAAGGTACATTTGCCAAATTCTCTTCTGCCTTTTTTTTTTTTTTTTTTTTTGCGGTACGCAGGCCTCTCACTGTTGTGGCCTCTCCCGTTGCGGAGCACAGGCTCCGTACAGGCAGGCTCAGCGGCCATGGCTCACGGGCCCAGCCGCTCCGCGGCATGCGGGATCCTCCCAGACCGGGGCACGAACCCGTGTCCCCTGCATCGGTAGGCAGACTCTCAACCACTGCGCCACCAGGGAAGCCCCTCTTCTGCCCTTTTATTAAAGCTACAAATCTTACATCCATCAACTCGCTTCAAGCGGAGGCCCCTTTCACAGGGAACCTCACCAAGAAATGTTTTTAAGATATGCATTTAAAGCACTAGGGCCAGGATGAGGAGAAGGGAGGCTAGAAGTCCTCAACTACCCATGTCTGTTCTGCCCCTGCACCAAAGATGTGGCATCAGGGTCGGGCTGGAGGGAGAACAGCCTCCCTGTCCTATAGGAGGAACCTTCTGAATAGCATCAGTTTCAAAGGAATTTTGGATCCTTGAGTCGTGTTTTTATAAAATGACTCTGGCCCCACTAATGTCATAGGGCCTTGTTCCTGTAGGGTTCTCATAGGCAGCAAGTTCCCCAACACAAAGACAGCTAGAAGACAGACCACTGGGTCTGATCCCAGCTCTGCCTCTGGCTGTCTGTGTGGTCCCTCCTGAACCTTGGTCTCCTCATCTCTCAGATGAAGATGAAATATCATTGAGGTACGGCCAGGCTTGAAGGGCATCCTGTACCAAAGGCCAGGAGCCACTGTGCTTGGCACTCAGTAAGCGCTCTGTGAACACTTGCTGCCTCCTGATGGTCAGCCATGGGCACACCCAGGACAGTGCCCTGTATGCATGCGGCAGCCCAGCCCAGCCCTTTCGGGAAGTGGCCCGCCCAGAGACGGAGCTCACCAGCTCCAGAAGGTCACCGCTCATCTTCACCAGGAAACCGGGGAGAAGGTCGTGGAAGACGTGCAGGATCTTGGTGAGGTAGCCGCGGTGGGCGGCCTGGGCCTGCAGGCGGCGGGCGGTGCGCTCCGTCTGCGAGCGGTGGGTCTCTTCCTTCAGCACCACCATGTAGCTGCCTGGCAACCTCCAGGCGTCCTGGCCCCCAGCGAGGAGGAGTGACATGATGACATTAAAACAAGGGGAAGGATGCTATGAGTGCTTCATCCACCTATGTTTACAAGTTGGAATTACAGCGAAAGAAACTCTACAGAGTATAGGAAGTATAAAGAGAAGTCACCAAACTAGGGCCCCCAAACCACATAGAAGCCAACTCTTAGCAGTAACGTAACATATACCACACTTTCAAACTTGACAGTCAGGCAAAAACGGGAACCATGGGCCACAGTCAACACCAGGTTCTCGTCTGCACCTGCACCTAGTTCTCTGTGGGGCCGACCAAGGCCTGGCCACCCTTGGAGGCCCTGCCTGAAGGCCACCTCCTCCCGAAGACCTTCTTAATTACACCTCCCTTCCCCATGTCTCAATTTGAAATAATCACTTCCTCCCGGGTCTAGTACCTCCCTGACCCCCTCCGGAGGCAGTCCAAAAACATGGCCTGAATCCCAACCTCAATATTTACTGGCTATGTGGCCATGGGCAAGTCACTCAACCTCTCTGAACCTCAGATATTTCCTCTATGGTGTGGGGAACATAACACCTATGACACAGGCCTGCTGGGAAGGCTAAGAGACCTAGTTGTGTAAAGCATCTAGCAAGCAGAAGGAATGATAGAGTGAGCAAAGGCAACACTTCTCACATGGGATAAAAGACTCAAGGCCATGGTCTACAGGAGCAGATCTGTTTGCTCTTAGCTCTTATCCGCTCCCACTGCTCTCAAACAGACACAACTGTGCTCAAGAACCTTCAGTGGCTCCCCATAGCCTGACAAAGTCCAAACTCCATGCTGCCCCTTGGTCCCCGCTGCAACCTACCTCCGTAGCCTAATCTCCCACATCTCTGTACGTGCACCAGAGTAGAATACAGTCTACAACCCTTTATCCAAAGTCTTAGGGTCAAATGGGTTTCAAGATTCAGAACTTATTTGGGCTTTAGAAAGGTAGTAATAGGCAATCAGGGTGCTCAGAGGCGTCTGGAGCAGCATACTGTAATCTATGCAGCAAAATATAGGAATATAAATATTTACATCAGTGGGATAACTTATAAATAACCTCATGTCAGTTCAGGTCAGGTTACCACCAAATAATTTACAAGAAACCTTTTGGGTTTCAGAACATTTTACATTTCAGAAGGCAGATAAGGAACTGTGGACATGTGCTCCCTATTCTCCACCTCTAGCTTTCCCAGGTCTGAGCTTTTGTTCATGCTACCCCCTTCACCTAGAATAAAATTCCCCTGCCCCTTTAATTTAAACTCCTATTTATGCTTCAAAGGCCCATCTAAAATGCCCTCAGCTAAATGAAAACCTAATGAACTGGGAGGACACTTTGTGCACTGGAAGGAGACTTGCCCTAGAAGCCCAGTTCTAATGCATCAGGGGGGTGAAACCCCTCTCTCTATGAATAAAAGAAAAGGATTGGTCTAAAATCTTTCTCTGCCTGCCCAAAATATTTTCATTACAAATTCAATCTCTACAAAGTATCCATTGAAGGAATGAATAAATGAACGTCCGGAGGTTCTTGTTCCAAACTTCCTCTGGGGAAGAAGTGCCCTCGAGCGCCTGTTTTCATTGGTTGTCCGGCCTCCGCTTACTCACCTCTGGGGATGGGGTATTCACTACTAGAATAGTTATTTGGGGGCAGTGACTTGAAACGCCCTTTCTCAACCTTGTCACAACCCATCAACATCCTTCTAGACGGTGAAAGGCTCAGGGAACAAGGAAGAAGGTGCTATGAGCTGAGTAAACTTCTGTCTCCTGTGAGAGCCAGACTGAAGAGAGGTCCCTCCCCTTCTGCCACTAACACAGGACACAGGCAACACTGAGGGCCTGACACCCCTCTGCAGCCAGCACACTCAGGCAGAGGAGCGGGGGCAGAAGCGCAGGCCAGATATCCATTAGCCTAGAACTTCCCCTCTGCCCGGGGAGCTGCAGTTTGGAGCAAAAAGGGCATGACTGGGAGGTGGCACTGCAGCCAGGTAAATAGCTACCTCCTACAGTGCTCTCTTCACTGGCTCACATGGTGGGGAGGTCACTCGTGTGGGCAACAGAGCCCCTTTCCCTTCATTCCTCCATCTGCCCAGCACTGACTCTTCACACAAACCCTCCGGAAGGACTGTCACCTCCCTTTTAAAGATAAGGAAAACGGAGGCTCGGAGGTTAAGTGACTTGCCAAGCACCACTCAGCTAGTGAGTGATGGAGCCAGGATTCAACCCCAGAGCTGACTCCAAGCCCGGTAGCAGGACCTCAGTTGAGCCCTGGGAAGGTTATAATTGGAGGAGTCCCAACCCTGGGCAGGAGCTCCCATAGCCCAGCGGCCAGGCGCTGGCCTTGATCTTCAGGAAACTCGCCCCACCCACTCTGGGCGGCGTTTGAGTGGGCTGCGGCTACCAGGCTCCTTCCTTCCCGAGAGCACCAAAACAAGCCCTTCCCAGACGAGCCCAAGGACCCCAACGGGCCTGGAGAATAACTCCGTCCCCTCCCCTTCAGTTTTGTTCTTTTCTTCAGCTGAAAAAGATGCAATCCTAGAATGTGAGTTTTGTGGCATGAAGAAATTGCCTCCCGCCACTATCATTCATTCGCCTTCTCCCCCGCTCCACCCCTGTCACAGTCGCGCCGTCTCGTCCCAAGACCCCCAAGCCCACCCCCTCCCACACTCCCCACACACACTCTGCACTACCCAGATTTCCCGATCCGCGTCAGGACGCATAATATCTCCTCTCTGCCCGGGGCCGTTCTAAGCACGTTTCAGGCATTAGCGCCTTGACCCACCCGAGCCTCAGTGGTGAGGCACGTCCAGGATCTGAGCAGGCGATCCTGGAGGTGCTCTGCTCGTCCTACCTGGCGCCTACCAGTCTCCGAGCCCCCTGCACCTTTCCCCCGCAGAGCGCACCCCAAAGAGCCGCCGTGCCCGTTCTCCCCACCACCGCGCCCGCAGTCCCCAAGATCCGCGCCAAGCCTGTCCTCGGGTGAGCTGAGGCCCCCCCCGCCCAATCAGTGACTTTCACTCCAGCCCCTCCCTTCCGGAGTGTGGGGCTGGGGTCACTGAGGCCACAGAGAGGATATGCCCATCGCCCGGGTCCCCGCGTGGGTTCGCCCCCGCCTCCCACCCCGGCGTCCGCACCTTTGCGCAGCGGTGGAAGGTGGCGGTGGCCACGTTCTGGGCCGTGTCAGCCGAGCTGTCCTCCTCCGACCGGAAGGCGAGCACCAGCTCCTCGTAGTCGCTGTCTTCGTCCTCCTGCGCGCGGGCGCCCGCGGGTCCCAGGAGCAGCAGCAGGAGCAGCAGCAGCGGCGGCCGCAGCGGCCGCCGGGAGCTGCCCGTACCCATCGCGGGGAGAGGAGAGGTTTGCGTCGGGCAGGGAGACCCGGGGGCGACTCGCGGGCCAGGCCCGCAGCGCCTGTGCCTCGAGGCGGGGAGCCCGATGCGAGCGCGGGACTCGGGCCCCGGCGGGAACGCGCGCTGGGCCGGGCTCCAGGCCTCCCGGTTCGGGGCTGCGCCGGGGAGATGCTTGCCGGCCCCGGGCCGTCTCACTGCCTGGCTCGCCCCGCCTGGCTCGGACCCGACCTGAGCCTGAGCCCGCCTGCAGCCGCGCGCGCCTCGACGCCGCGGCGGAAACCTTCCGGGGTGTGGGTGCGCGACGCCCAGGGTCCGGGAGATCACGCCACCTGAGCTCTATCGGATGATCCTACCTGATTAAATATTAACGGAACCCCCGGACTGAAGGATTGGGTTTCGGCCTCGCTCCCCCTCCCCCTCCCCCTCCCCACCC